TTTTTTTTTTTTTTTTGTGAAGGGTTTTTTTTGAGTTAGGCTCTTGCGAACTATATTCCCCAGGCTGGCTTCAAACCATGATCTGTCTGATCTCTGAGTAGCTAGGATTACAGGTATGAGCCACCAGTGCCCAGCTTGGTCTTGAACTCTTGATCCTCCTGCCTTGGCCTCCTGAGTGCTGGGATTATAGGTATGTACCACTATGCCCAGCTTTAGTAATATAATTTTGAAGTGATAGAATATGTTATAGAAGAGAAATAATTACAGATGATGAGTTGGGTAGATGTTTTAATCAGGTTTTATTTGTAGAGAAAAAAACATACTGTGTTTAGTTTAACAAAAAAAAAGATTCGTTTCAGGGTGTCAAATGACTTAATGACAAATAGAGTTGAAGCAGCAAGTTCTAGTCTGGTCTCTGAAGAACACCTCAGACTGAGCTATCACCAAGGCTGCTGCTTTATCATGATCAAGCAGTCACCTGTGGAATCTGTTGCTCCAAGTGCTAACTGCAGAACTAGGCTGCTGCTCCCTTAACCTCACTCACCACAAGGTAGATGTCTGTTATAAGCTTATTCCCCCACCTGTATGGGCTCACATTGTTACAGTATCAGAGAATGTTCTACAGTATATAGTTCAGCCAGCGCACCTGGATACATGTTGTTCCTCCTACCTCTCTGGCTTTGCTTTTTAAGACAGGCAGAGGTTGGGTGTGATGGTTCATATCTGTAATCCCAGTACTCAGGAGGTCAAGTCAGGAAAACGCTGAGTTTGAGGCCAACCTGGGCTACAGAGTGAGACCCATTTTGTGAAAATATTCCATGTAATAGTGAAAAATTTTTTTAAAATACACTTTTTGGCAGTACTGGAGTTTGAACACAGGGCCTCAAGCTTGCTAAGCAGGTGTCTACCACTTGAGCCATGTCCCCAGTCCAACATAAAAATTTCAAAATTGTTTTTATATATCTTGAGGACTGTTTATATAAAGTTGTTAATTCTGAATGGTAAAACTATTACATATTACGTAAACTGGATTTATCTTCTGGCCAGGTTCCTCCTGGATGAAGAAGGACCAGCCCACTTTTACCCTTCGACAAGTTGGAATAATATGTGAGCGGCTCTTAAAAGACTATGAAGAAAAGATTCGGGAGGAGTATGAACAAATCCTCAATACCAAACTAGCAGGTGGGCTGAGGCAATGACTAAGCCATTATTTTTAATAGGCTTCAGTATGAACTAATCCTCAGTTAAATAACTTAAGAGAAAGAGGGCTTCCGGGTAAGAGATGTTACTGAATTGTGGATATTGAGGCAACTCACTGGCGATAGTAAGCATGTTATTTATACATAATATGGAAGAACTTCTTTGCATTTCTGAAAGGAGATAAACCAAGCCATTATGTGAGAGTATTCCATATTAATAAAAGCATTGAGTAGGCCATTTGGACTAGCCAGCTGGTAAACAGGTGGTTAAATATGGGACTAACCTTTCAATAGGTGTTTAGGAGTGCAGAATTGTCAGCGTACTCAAACTTCTAGTGGGAGTCACTTTTTAGAAGTTGAGCATCCTGTGATTTGTGAGGTACAATAGAATAAAGCAAGGAGAACCCAGCTGAGAATAGAGCAGTGGTAGTGATTAGTAATGGCAATGAGTAGAGCCTTATGTGAAGGGATCTGAATCAAGAATGGAAAGTAAGCTGGGCACTGGTGGCTCATATCTGAAATCCTAGGTACTTGGGACGCTTAGCTCAGGAGGATAGAGGTTTGAGGCCAGCTCAAGCAAATAGTTCAAGAGACTCCATCTCCAAAGTAACCAGAGCAAAATGGACTGGAGGTGTGGCTCAACCAGTAGAGTACCTTCTTTGCAAGCATGAAGCAATACATGTTTAGTGAAAGAAAACAGTGGGATGATGTTGGGATCATAGAGATTTTAAGTAACCAGTTCTTCTTATAACAGTATTTTATCCTAATCTGGTGACCCACACAAAAAGATTTGCAGACTATTAATAGGTCTGCTTTAAGTTGGGAACTTGGGTTAAGCAAAATTAAATTGGTCTGCTTATAGAATGAATTGGATCCCTTAACATGCTAATAATATATATTATAATCATTACTTCTCCCACTCCTATCTAGTGTAATTTGTTTTGGCTTTAAGTCACTTTCTTGTTCACAGATGTCAGGGTACTTCCTGCCTTTCTGCTGAGTTTCTTTTAGAGAATATATTTCTGTGGAACTATCTACAATTACATAGTATAGATTTTTTTTTTTTTTTTTTT